AACAGTTAGTACACATATTGCCCTATGACAATGGTTAACAACTCCACAACATGTCAACACTGTCCTTGCTCAACCTTGGGCTCCCTATCACCAGCTTTCTTGTCCCCTCCTGCCTTCTAGTCCTTGTCCCTGGACTGCTGTGCCTCATTAGTCCCATGTGGTTTTATGGGGCTGTCCACTCCCTGGCTGAACGGTGAACCTCGGGAGCGATTTCACCCTGAGAGCCTTTCACATTTAAATCCTCATATACCAGAAAGAAGAAGAAGAAGAAGAAGAAGAAAAAGCCGAGGGAAGAGCGTTTCTCAGGAATTCTCTCAAAGCAGGGTAAAGGAGAGAAACCAACATTTTCCTTAGGAACTGGTGTTAGAATGAATGCACGTGGTATGAGATAGGGGCACAGTCACATTTTTTTCCCACATCTCCACCCAAAGCCCTAGAAATTTTTATTGAAGTGACTATCCTTTCCCACCTGCTCTGCAGTGTCACTCTGCACAAAAAAAAAATCTAGAGTCCATATACACCTGGGTATGTTTCCAAAGTCTCATTCCATTTCCTTGTTCTAGTTGTTTATATTTGGAGCAGTACCACAATTTCTCTATCACCATAGCCTGTTAGTCAGTCTTGTTTTTCTTAGTTAGTCTTTGCATTTCCATACAAATTTTTTAATCTGTTGTCAATTTCCATTAAAAAAAAAATTGTTAGGATTTGAATAGAAATTTCATTGAATCTATAGATCAACTTGGGGTCAGCTGACATCTTTACAACACTGGGAAGACTTAACTTTTCAATTGCTGATTATGTTCTGGATGTAATCTCATCTCAAGATAAGGGCTCAGCTGTATTCAGTTGGGCTTTACTCCAGGTTTCAGGTCATGTTTGGGCCTGTTACACATGCTTCTCAACATCCTTAGACCAGTACAAAATACCAGAAAAAAAGCCATAGAAAAGACCATTTCTCAGGAATTCTTTCAAAGAAGAACAAAGGAGGAAAACAAACATGTC